AGGAAGCAACCTAGTCTGAGGAGCCTGAAGGATTATAAGATTCTTCAAAGTTGGGGTTGTGCTTTTTACAATGATTTGCACACGCGCGCGCACGCGCGCGCACACACACACACACACACACACACACGAATGTTGCCCTGCAGGGACAGATAAATTATAACTGATGACCTGACCTATTAGTTAAGGTCAATTTGATCATCTTTGACATTTAAATTTTTCTTTGGAAAATCTCTGAAAATTGTTTTCCAAAGCAGATGATGAATACTAAGAACAACCAATCTTAAAATTCTATAATCAGTATATATTTTGTCTCCAACAGCCTTGCCTGGCATGACTACCTACCTAGCCTCTCATACTTGTTTCTGGTTTTAAAAGTCTAATCTGGCTTCTAAGATTTATACTTATCTCCCTTGGAGAAAAATTTTGATGCAAATCTGAAGGTACACCTGAGCTAAAATGTGAATCAAAAACCACTGTGCCCAGAACAACAGAAAAACAGTATTGTCAACGGTCTTTCAGCCTCACCCCTGGACTCTTGACACTTTAAACATAAAAGCTCATGATGCTTAGTAGCACGTAGGCTCCCTGAACCCCCAACGGTGGGTCTTCCTGCCCCGAATATTCAAATTTTCTATTTTCTAGAGAGCTAAGTTTATATCCAAAAATGCATTTTTATTGACCAGTATTGGATGAAAATATTTCTAGAATAACTTTCCCAAGGGTACAGCCTGAGTATACTGTATGCCTGAATTTAAATCCTGATCTGTTCAACAGTCCAACTTCTGTCCTGTAGAGAAATGCTACCTCCACCAAAGAGTTAAAGGCTACTGAGTCTCCATGTATAGTTTACAGTCCTCCTTCCTCAGGCTCAACCATGTGAGTCTCTCGCCTCATGAAGACTCCTTTTCTTTCTTGCTTATTTCCTATTTCTCAAGTACATTTCAGATATAAAAATACTGTCAGGCTTGACTTCCGGATTGAATGAGTCTCATTTATTAAGACTGGACTCAGAGTAGGGGTGGGAGGTGCAATGACCATAATCATGGTGATTTCATGTGACCAAACATGCAATATGACCTTCAGAATTATAAAGAGCTTTGGAGTTAGAAAATTCTAGGATTTGGCATATGAACTTTAGTTTGACATCCCAAATTGAACTATCCAATTCTATTGCATGACTGTCCTTTAGCAGACTAGAAACTGAGAATGGTAAACTCTTTTGAAGCAGAAATGACTTGTATTTGGAATCAGCAGTGACAAATTCACTCAATAGAAGAAAGTTCCAGAGAATGCTCCAAGTGGAATAAGAGCACCTCGGAGTGATGATGACTGCTATCATTTTCATCAAGAGATGAGGCCATAAAGACTGCCCACAGCTAAGACTTACTTACTATGCTGATGCCATCGATATAAGGCAGCATATTAAACTCATGTTAAACATAAACAAGAGCCATGTGTTGGTTTCATCTGTCATGGAACTGATGGAATTGCTGGGTGGAGAACATGTCAGCACACTGCCCAAACATATGCATGCGTTCTAGCTTCTCTTAAACTCCACAACAGGCTTCTGGGTCCAGAATGAATGAGCTAAGTGTAGAGCAGATGCCCAAAGAAGAAAAAAAAAAATCTCATGTCTCCAAGCTGTATACAGTTCCACCCAGAGAGAACACCCATGACGGGAAGGGCAGGTGTCTCCCCCAGATGTTCCAAGCAAGCAAAATGGAGACTTTTCCTTTGTAGCAGTGGGGGGCTGCTCTTAGCTTCAAAGGGGCCAGATGTGGCTTTGACACATCTTTTTTTGGTCTGTATGTTTTCTGGATGTTTGTCCATAGCAAATGTGGTCTCTTTCTGAGCTGGTAAGCTCCTAGAGAACAGTGACCATGTGTCTCTGCAGCTTTGCTTGATGACTATCTCTGCGTGACTTCCCATCAGGAAGCTGGAAAGGAGGCACAGTTTCAGAAGGTTGATTTCTTGAGACTGATGATTTCCTGACAGACAACCAGAGACTGGTCCAAGCAGGGCGGAGGAATGAGATGCCAAGATACCAATGTTCTCCCAGTCCTCCTCCTAGAAAAGCCCGGGCCCAAGAACTTCTAGGGGCTATCCCAGGGTGAGGGCAGAAAAAGAGCTCAGCATCCAGCCTATGAATGCTGGATCATGGTGAAAGTCGTTTTGGATATGCGAGTGGAGCGGGTTAAAGGGAATGTTGAGGATTTTCATGAAGGCTTTCATTAAAAAGGGTTTTTTCGGGTGATTTGGTGATGGGAAGCCCACGGGGATTACAACTGAGATGGAAAAAGGCAAAAAAAATGATGTAAAAACAAAACTATTATATTATAAAAAGAAAAGGGGGGGGGGAGGTTTTCTTTCCGGGTCAACTAAATTTTTTCCATTATAACTTAGCTCTGTAAGTGTGTCTCCATGAAAGACAAAAGAACAGCATTCTGGTGCCTTCCTGTCAATTATGCCCCCACATGGAAGCACTGACTCTGGTGTAGTTTCCTTGGAGAAAAGAGTTGGATCCTCCATACTCCAATGGTCCTATTCAGCCAAGGAACCTAGGACTCAGTGACCTTTAAAGAAATTTAAAGGAAGCTGGGCTCTTGCCCTCGCTGTGACCCTGACATGTGCAAGACCTTGGTCAGGGAGCTGCCAATATGGAATCTGACTTTCCCCAATGGTAGCACCACCTGCTGGGGAGGAGTTTTGATAAGCCCAAGTCAGTCCGTTGCTTGTTTAGAAAATATACCCATGCCCAAGGGAAATTACTTGTTTAAACAAAATTATGGCAGACCATCTGGCATATGATGGTGGCCTTCTTTCACGACAGTCACAAGCTGGAAGGAACCCCCTTTTGCTCAAGGAGGCGGCATTGATGGTTACAAAATGCCTGACCCCCTACTCTGACATCTGACAATCTGTACCTCGTAGAGATCAGCCAGTCGCATCCAGTCGCACGCAGTCTATTCAGTCCCCAAACTAATTATCTACTCTAAGAAGATAAGGGTCATTTTATGACATACGTAATTTTGTTTACCTAACCGTATACAAATTCTGTTTTCAGACTGAAAAAAAAAAAAAAAACAAACAACAAAAAACAGAAAGGCTAGTTTTATGGACTGAATATGTGTATCTCTTCCAAACTCCCATTGAGGTAGTATTAGGAGGCGGGGGCTTTGGAAAGGAATGAGATTTACATGAGGTCACTAGCATGGGGCCCCAGATGGTATTAGTGCCCTTACAAAAAGGGACACCAGAGCTGTCTTCTCCACATGCCTGTACACATGTCACGTGAGCACTAGTGAGGTATGAGTGAAGTACAATGATCGGCCAGCCAGGAGGAGGGTCCTCAGCAAGAACCAAACCTGCTAACACCTTGATCTTAGACTTCATGACCTCCAGAGTATGACAGGTTAATGACTGTGGGTTAAGCCACCCAACTTACGTGGCTTTTTTTGCTATAGCAACTCAAACTGACGACAATGGCTGGTTACAGCCAGCCTACAGTGTTTGGGATGCAATCCTCATCTTTTGTACAAGTTGCTGTGTAATTCTCCTCTTTTAACATCTGAGTCAGACAAGTCAAGAGGTGGAAGCAGTGATATTCCCTACAATTCCACTTGCAGTATTAATCACAGCTACGTAGCTTAGAACCTGGCTCTCTGGCCCTTAGATATATTCTTCGTTACTTACTATTCTTAAGATTCTTTGCTGCTTAAACTATTACAGTTGAAGTGGATTACAGGTCAGAACAAAGAATCCTGGCCAGCAATATGAATGAATATATTTGGAAAGACAGGGATTGAACGTGTCCCTTTATGGTAGGGCTTCTCAGGAAGTAGTATGTATGATACATCTCCAAGAGACGCAACGTCCATCACCCCCCAACGTCCAACACCCCCCAACGGTCCATCCTTCCACGGGGTTTGCAAAGAACTCAGACTGGTACAAATTTCTCTGTTCTCCTAAACAGAATTGGCCTTGGCCTATGAGTCAGTTGACCCTGATCATTTCTGCAATCCTGGTCTTCTGATGTCAGGATGGCTAAACATATTCCCTGAAACAGATTCTTCTTTAATACCAACAATCTATAGACAGGAAAGACTGAGGGGCTACATGATTTTGTTTTTTGACCTGCAAGTAGATTTTCACTCTTTTCTTTTAGGTCTTGTTCCTGTGAGTCAGTGTTTATTTTCATGACAAAACTTAATTGAAAGAAGCCCTTCTGTAAAACTTGTATAAAACCATGTGAGAAAAGTGAGGCTCCACATGAAAGTCCATCCTGCTTTTCACCAACAATTCACTCTTCCCCCTCCTGTGGTCATGTATTCCACAACTTTAGAGATTATTCTAAGTGATCACATTATGTTTTAAGCATTCACATTAATCTATGCATTATACTCAAAGTCTCTTTTACTTATTCACTGAGAAAACAGAGAGCTTAAAAATATTAAGCTCTGGGCCCTTCCTGGTGGTGCAGTGTGTTAAAGCACAGCACTAAGAAGCTAAAGCCACTTCCGCATGAGTTAGATCCCCAGCCTGGAGGTGACTACATGGCTCAGCAGACCTCTCCTGACCCGCCCGCTGCTCTCCTCAGCAGTGTACTTCATCAGTCGGCCTGTTCTTCTCCCCACTCTGTCTCCAGTGAATCCTCTCACTGCCCCTGCACCTTTGGCTTGTACCCCGGTTCTGTATGGACAAATAAAAATAAATCTTTAAAAAACATATATTAAGCTCTTTAAAATCAGAAGTACCTGGTTCCTAATTTTGCCACTCCCTGGCTGTGTCTGCTTCAGCAAGCAGACTCTTTCAGAGTCTCCAAACATCTCGACTAAGACTGGCAAATAAGACATGGGGGAAGCCCTGTCTCAGGGGCCAAGTTAATGGAGGGAAGAGGAAATAACCAAGCTGAGTTAGCAGAGGCATGAAAACCCTGCTGAAAGTCTGGCTCTGCTGGGCGAGGCCCTGGCAGCAAGGAGAGGGGCGAGTTCATTACATACGGGACTCCGATCTCAAAGATGTTGTTCTGGATCAGCTGCTTCCCCAACATGATGATGCTGAGCTGGATACAGAGCTCCATCAGGCAGCCCCCAGGAGCACACTGCGGGGAGGAAATACAGGAGGCGCAGTTAGACCACGGGGAGCCCAGAGAAGCAAGGGCATGAATTGAGCCATGATGCGATGGGGATAAGGGTGGGTCTGGGGGTGCCCTACAGACCACCCACCCAGCAGGATACACCAGTCAGTGCTCTACTTACCTCTTCCATACGGTACCCATCGAACACATAAACATAGCTGCCAGGCCTGCCCACAAACCTGAAATCAAGAAAATGGGAAGAGTCAGAGAAAGATGAGGATGCTTGAGGGTATGCCTTCCACATGGAACAGTCATCGCTCAAAGTCCTTCTGGAAAAGGACTGGCCGGCGCAGGTGGATCATCACCCAGGGATGAGTTCAGGCTGTGTGACCAGTTAGCAACCCCCTCTAACACCTAGGGTTCACTTGTTCACGTCATCAACTCCAGGAGGAAGGAGCTAAGGCCAGGTCTGGTGTGAAGCGAGGCACGGCACGGTGAGAGTGCACGTGCGTGCCGTGCATGCACATGCACACACAGTAACTTCTAAGACTAAACACACTGTGAAGTATAGGTGGTACTGACTGTGGCCCTTCCCCCCATAACTAGTGTCAAGCACTGAGTTCTGACTGTGACACCTCAGCGAGGGCTCTGGCGCCCCCGCACAGGAGGGTGAGCTGCACGAAAGGTGCAAGTGTAGATCCTAGACCCTGGGATCAGAAAAGAAAAATCTAAATGTCTCACAAAAAATATTCAAAGGAATGGAACAACTCTGCTTCATTCCTCTTCTAAGACTTAAGGGTCTATTTATTGGTGGAAAATACTGGGCATGAGTAGGAAGGAAAAGGTAAAAATCAGGAGGTAGCCCATGTTTATTGCTGCTTTATTCACAATAGAAAAGACATGAAATTAGCCCAAATGCCCAAAAGCAGATGGCTGGGTAAAAAAGATGCAGTACATATACACAATGGAATATTACTCAGCAATCAAAAAAGATAAACACATGCCTTTTGCAGCAACATGGATGGAGCTGGAAGGGATCATGCTTAGTGAAATAAGCCAGAAAGAGAAGGAAAAATACCGGATGGTTTCACTCAAAGCAGGAGCATAAAGGACAGGGGGTGGGGAATAATAATGAACAACTATATACCACAGACATTTTATGGGGTGGAGTGGGGAATGGGATCAAAAATATTGGGGGGGAAGAGGAGGAGGTCACTGGACTACGGTGATGGCACACGGGTGATTTGGTGATGGGAAGCCTACAAGGGGTTACAACTGAGATGGAAAAGGCACAAAATGATGAAAAAATAAAGTTATAAACTATTACATTAAAATAAAAAAATCAAGGGTGGGCAGGCAGTTGTGAAGAGGAGGCTCATTGCCAGTGCCGAGAAGGTTAAGCGTGTGTTAGAGGGTTGGGGCACAGAGCCACATAATAGCAGCAGTCTCAAGGGGAGACTGATTTCAACACTCAACAAATTATTCAATCACATTGATGGAATGACTCTCCAGTAAAAACTCTGGACAGTGAAGCCAGGATGAACTTCCTGGTAGATGATACATACCGATGTACTGGGAAGCTGGACATGAAAACTTCTGTTTAGGACTCTCCTGCTCCTCATCCTGTGTGCCTCTCCCAACTGCTGGGTTGGCTTTGCATCCCTTTGCTATAATAAAACTGTACTTTTAATTATAGCTATGCCTGTAACTGCATTATTCCTGAGTTCTGTGAGTTATTTTTGTGAATTATTAAACCCAAGGGGTTAGTCATGTAGCCAACCGGTCAGGATAATGAGTGACCTGGGAACCCCAGAGTTTGTGGCTAGTGGCTATCATGAGGATAGCCTCATACCCCCAATCTGTGAAGTCTGCATCAACCCCAGACAATATGAGAATTGCACAAATGATTTAAAAGCTACCTGCTAGACATGAAATTCCCTCCTGCATCATCCTGTATCATCCTCAAACTTGGGAGGTACAGATTCTTTAAGGCTAAGCCTTTAGGATTCAGACAAATCTTTGTAGAGTTTCCTATTTATTAGAATCTGAAGACACTAATTCAAAGTGATTTAATACAGTCAGCTCTCCTGCCCACCTGTGACTGTGCAAGTTCCTCTCTTTTTCCTTTCCCTATTCCCTCATAAGCCGACCCCTGTGTGTGTGTGTGTGTGTGTGTTTATAAGATTTAATACAAATGCCATTACTTCATAAGCAAAGAGTTGGGAAATGAGGCTGTGAACAGGCTGACACTAGTGGAGGCTAGTAAAGTCTAAGTGACAAAGTTCCCTTCCATGTATGACACTAACATACTCACCTCCCCTTGAAAAAGGCCACGTAGAAGATGGGGGAGTAGGCATTGACAAACTTTAGCAAGAAAGCTTTGAGTATCAGGCGTTCTTCAAAAGTCTGTTCTGTTTTTGGAACCTCTGGAAGAGAAGAGCAAAACTATTGAGACAGACTTCTCATTTCACCTGAATGCTGACTCTTCAGCATGAGATTGTGTCCCTCGGCTTATGCCTTCCGATTGGAAATCAAGACAGCTTGTTCTCTGGCACTTTAGAACTGACTTTGTCTGGGAAGTGGCAAATGGCTCAACAGGAAATAGGAGGCCATCGAAGGAGAAGGGTACCTCACCTGTCCCCTTCGCCTTCCTGCCTGTTACCCACTCAGCCGTGGTTTCACACCTGCCTCCTGAAAGAGAGGTCTGAGCAGGCAGAACTTCCTTCCACCACCTTTGCTTCATCAAGAAATTCAGCTTTTATCTGTATAGGCCACTTCCATAAGATTTTACTTCAACAAAAGTCCCTGACAAAAAGGCTCATTCACCACTAGAGCCGAGAGGCAGCAGAGACTTGTCTTGAGAAGCAGGCATCGTTCCTCTCTCCGGCCTCCATTCAGTAGGAAGCACTCATGTCATGTGTAGTTCTCTGGGTTGGCTGAGGCCACCTGTGTCCACTGCTCAAGTGATGAAGAATCATCAGCAAAGTGAAGCCAACACAGTCCGAGTCTGACGTCTCAAATGCAGGGTCCAAGTGCCAGTGTGCTCTACTAGGTCCACACAGAGATCTCCACCAAGTTTCCCTGAGAATCACTAAGCAGAAACCTGGGTGCCTTCAGGAGACTCAAGCCCCACGGGACTCTCCAAATGACAGCCCACACAATGCCAAGTGAGGGCCGTCACTGAAATATCCTTTGAAAATGATTTTCTATTTATATTAAATCTAGACAGAAAGCAGCTACATGTGTACTTATTAATATACACGGTCTCTTTGCTACCACAGTTTCATTGGAGTCAAGGGCAGAGGTCCTGGGGAGGATGCTGTGGTTTGGGTTATGATCATATTTATAAGAAATTATCAGATGGGGATGATGACAGTTCTTACTCTCTATGCCAGGTTAATAGTGCTCAGAAATCGGAGCACTAAATCTGCACATAGTCGATGCGTACAGGAAAACCTCCTTGCAGGTAGCCAACTGATCTGATCATGCAAAGTATTTATCAGAAGTGATGCTACAACCAGGTCACTGTCCCTGGTTCCTGGGAGCACCCTCTCAATCCTTGTAATTGCCCACTAGGAGTATCTTTGTTATCTCTGATGGACCCCCAAGAAACCCATCAAGCCCCAAGGAGCATGATAAATAGCTCGACAAAGACAAAAAGAACAGGAGCACACACCTATCTGTGAGGGAGACCGGAGAGGTTTCAAAGGCCGAAAGCACACAGCCAGAATGTGAAAGAGTGAAACAATACTTGCCATTTACTAAAAATCTCCTGTCACATTCCAAAAGGGAAAATTCTAAGGCGGGGCCTCTGTTTGCTGAGCAGAGTACAGGGAAGGAAGGTACAAGAGGAGCGGCCAGAGTTACATTTCTCTGCATAAGACCAGAACTGGGAGCAGTGGGGTTCCAGGAAGAACTAAAGTCAGCATGACCGAGAGGGAGCCGGGCAGCTGCCACCAAAGAAGTGTGTGTGTGTATGTGTGTGTGTGTGTGCGTGCGTGCCCACGCGCAGATGCCCACGGAAACTTCATTCAGTTCTGCTGTGAGGCTGGCAGCATGACCTTCCTTCACCCTCCATAGCCTTCAATGCAGACGCCTTAGAATCTGCTCCCCTTCCCAGGGCTGGAGAATCTGGATTTGCTCTTGGGAAGGGACATGCTGAAGGACCGAGTCCTTCTTCAAGATGGGCACAGAGCGTGAACAAGCTGCCCATGGCGCGCCATCCTGCGTACAAAGCGGAGAGACAGGGGAGTGAGGAGAGGAGGAGGAGGGCAGCTGGGAGGGGGTGAGAGGAGGTAGGAGGGGAAGAAGGAGGTTGGGAAGGAGAGAACTTAGAGGAGAAAGAAGGGCGGGAGGGAAAATGTCTTTTCTTTTAAAGATGTACTTATTTATGCATGCAGAACTGGGTACGGGCCAGAGGTGCAGGGGTGAGAGGCCTCACCAGAGACAGAGTGGGGAGCAGAACAGGCCGACTGACCGAAATACACTGCTGTGGGGAGCAGCAGGCAGGACAGGAGAGGTCTGCCACGCCATGTGGGCCAGCTCCTGGACCGGGGATAGAACTCATGCCACAGTGACTACAGGCAGCTTCACAGTGCTGAGCCTTTACCCACCGCACCAGCAGGGAGGGCCAGCGCAAATTTCTTAATAGAAACCGGAGACCAATATGTCCCAGGCAGCCATTTCAACAATGACCTCACTACATTTTGTCTCTCACTTATATTTTGGGGAGATAAGAAAATTAAAACTGTTATCACCTTAAAATTAAGTAATCAGGCCAAAGGACCTGACAATTTGGAACATGTTCCTTGTAGATACAGCCAGAGAAGCAGGGTGGGGGGCAGATCCAGGATGAAGGATGGAAGGACACCTGTATTTGATTTTCTTTTATAATCTCCTTTGAACCCTTTGTACTCAGATCTCACAATCCCAACAGGAATTTCCTTCAAGTTCTCTGGAAGGAGGATCTGGTCTTTTTAGAGCTCTCTGCTCCCCCTGGAAGTAAGCAATGGCTCCCTCCCTCCACACTGATAAATTACAGGCCTGCTGGTTATTTATTAGGGTTTTTTTTCCTAAAAACAGGCTGTGCCTATGCTTTTAGGGCCATGAGCCACCATAAATAATGGGCATTTCCAATAAACAATCCAAATCCACCTGAAAGGCCGCTAAATCAGCTGGGCGCCCCCACCTCAGAGAAGGGCTTCCACCAGTTGGTGAGCTCTGCTGAGCCTTCTGGAGGAGGGGACTCAGAGAACACCTCACAGGGAGGCAGGGGCTGGGCAGGGTCAGGTGTCGCAGGGGCTAGAGCTCCTGGGCTTTTGGGTATCAATAGCCAGTCCAAGGAGCCTTGCCTGCCTGAGGCGGATTGTGGGACAAAGAAGAAACAGAGCAAGGTGTCCCTGGCCCACTAGGGGAGGGGTGGCCTATGTGCAAGATGGAGGCGTGTATAATGGGGGCACCCTCAGGCCACTGGACAGGCCCTCCCTCTTGCAAGGCAGGGGGGGGGGGATGATCTGAGCCTGAGCCCCATGAGAAAATGGTCAGCTCTGCCTCTCCGAAAACCCAAGTGCCTTTGCTATCAAAAGTGAAAGGATATGAAGGAGGGGAGACAGCGTGGCGTGTCATAGCCAGAGGGCACCCCTCCATCACTCATCTGTTCTTCAAGTTCCTCTTCTTGTGGGCTGATCAGAGGTCACTGGAGAACGTCACCCGCTCCTGACCTGCTGGAGCAGATTTCCAGAAAGCAGCCTCTAGCCCAGCCTGGGAAGGACAGTCAGATAGAATTCCTTTGCAAAGGCATTCCCAGCCCCCCTTTCTTTTAAGGGTTAAATCTCTGGTGCATTGTGTCATGAAAAATTATGAGTACAAATGACCCAGCTGTAAACTGCCTTGGAAAATAATTAGTCTGAAAGCCCAAGTGAGTCCCAGGGGCCAGCTCAGAAAGCACAGTCCCCAGGGCTCCAGTCCAATCACACGGACGCAGTGTGGCCAGCAGAGGATGCCAGCTCCAGGATCAGAATCTGAGGAAAGCAGCCCCTCTGAGTCAGTGTCTCGAAGCACCCAGTCAGCAGAGAAGGATGGCCACGAGACAGGTGGAGGGGCTGTCTAGGTACCCAGTGCAAGCCAAGCAGCCTGGCTCTGCCCTGGTGGCAGGACGGGCATTAGCCTGAAGCCGAGTCGGAGAACACAGGTGCCCGGGTCTCTGCCTTGTCCCCCAGGACGATGAAACCTTGGCAAACAGCCGTCTGGGCCTCCCTCCACTTGTACATGTTCTGGGTAGGGAGGGGGCTGTCTCAGACTCCTGCATGATTGGTTGCTTTGTTTGTGCCACTGTGTGTGGCAGGGAGGAGGGGATCACCCTAGGAGACACCAGCCTGCTGGGTAATAAGACAGCCAGTGCCCGGAACCCGAGATAAGGATGGGTGTTCTTGTCGCCCTAGCGCTTCGTAGCACAAGAGGCCTTTCGCGGAGAGTCAACATGAGGACTTGCAGCCGAAGGCTGCCTGAAACCTCCTGTGTGGCCAACAGCCCAGTTCAAGGTGTGGAACAAAACCCTGGAGCATCTCATTTTAAGGAAAAAGGAGACTAAATAGGATGAGAATACCCGGAGACCAAGACCCCGGGGCAGGCACACAGCCCACCCAGGAGAAGGCAACCTCAAGGGATATGTTGATCTGTTCAGTGATTATGTTTTGCATTGGGTACCAAGACAGATCCATAGAGAAAGGCAGACAGACAGATGGAGAGAGAGGTAGAGAGTGGATGGGTAGATGAATGGATGGCTGGCTGGCTGGATGGACGGACGGACGGACAGACAGACATATAGATAGAGCAAGTGAGCATCTGAGCAAGGATAAAATATCAGATAGTAAATTAGAGAGAAGGCAGCGCTGCTTGGCAGGGTCTGCAGGCCACAGGAAGAACTGCAGACGCTCTTTCCAATGGAAAGGCACCTTAGGGTTTTGAGTAGGGAAGCCTATTGTGTTATTAAAAGTTAAAAGGCTCACAGGAAATAACTTGTGCAGGTGGGTGGGGGAAGAACGGGGGACAGATGTAGAAGCAGAGGGATAAATTCAGAGCACACAGCTGTGCAGGCAAGAGATGGTCAGTATCAGGCTGGAACTGGTGAACAGAGACCAGATCCGGGTTATAGTTGAGGGTGGAGTGGCAATAATTAACAGCTGGGAATCTAGGGATGGAGCAAAAAGGGACCCAGGATGGTACTCAGGTTGTGGTGAGCATTTGCGGGGCAGATCCCACCATTTCCTAACATGGGAGGAACAGAGCAGTAACTGCTTCAGAGGAAGAACTTAAGGATTCAAAGATGGAGCCATGAAGCCCTCGGACCTCTGTCCTTTGGTCACCCTGGGCCATGCCCCACAGGGGCGGGGTGAAGAACCATCTTTCACAAGTGCACCTGGCCAGC